TCCGCGGGCGCCCGGTCCAGCGCCAGCCGGGAGAACAGCGCCTACAGTGAGTGCTCTGCTCGGCGGGGTCCCACGGGGGTGACAGCGGCGCCCTGGTGAAGCCGGGGCCCGGAAGGGACTGCGGGAGAAAACCGGCCTGCTCCCTCTGCCAGAGGGCGACTGCGGCGTGCTAATGTCGCTCCTCACGTCCGGCAGGAAAGTGCGCGCCGGGGTTAGAGAAGAGAGGAAGGGAAGGGGAGGTGCACACCCGAAAAGGGGGCCTGCGGCAACTGGCCACAGTCTGGGCGAGCTGGCCAAATCTGCTGGGCATCCCTCACCACCAGCCTGGCCCGCTTGTCCGAAGGGGCGCGCGGTAAACAATCGCGGGGTCCCAAGCTCGGCTGGATTTGGCGGCTCTGGTAAATTTAAGGCTTTTGAATTTGTCGTAGAGAAGGAGCTAGTCAAGGTATTTATCATCGTCTTTATTATTTTGACGACTTCTCCACCTCTTGCCGACCCTGGGGCGCCTGGCCGTCCCCTCCGCCCTCCCGACTCGCTGCCGCCTCCGCGCCGGGGACGCTTGCTCCGGAACAGCTAGGTTCCCGAACCGCCACCGACAGTCATTCCTGGGGTTGGAATCGGCACCCCTCTGGCCTCAGCCCTGGGCTGCCGGGCAGGAAGGGTGGGCATCTCGCTTCTGGGTGGGGCCACAGCAAGTGGATCAAGAGCGCGGAGTAGAAGTCTGCTTGCGTCGGGGAAGGCAGATTCACACAAGCCGCCCAGCGCCCAGGACCCGCGGTCGGTTCCGAGCCTGCCCCGAGAGTCCTGCGAAGCTCCAGGGTTTGGCTATGTCTGCGGAAACCTGGAGCCGGCGCTGAGCCCTGATCAGAGGAGCGCAAAGTCGAGGAGTTCTCAAAAGCGGCCTTGCTCGGTGGGCAGAAGAGGCTACCCAGGGGCCGGGAAGCACTACAGCGGGGAGCGTAGGCGTGTGGCCAGGGCCGCGCAGGCCCTCAGCTGTGACTCGCAGCGCTGGGCTCTAGTTTCCCTCCCCGGGCGCACGAAGTGCAGCGACTGGAAACCGCAGCTTCCGAAAGGCAAGCTGCAGCCCTGTGAGGGTGTTTGGGGGGACGCCCTCGGAGCCTCTCGTCAGAGACTAACTGTCGCCCGGGCGTTCTCTTGTGCGGGACACTTTACGCAGAGATTCTCTGCAAACCCAGGCTCCCGCATGGACTTGCTGAGTATCCAGACTTACTGGGGCACCCATGGAGGGCTGCCCAGAGCTAGAGCAGGGCGCGCGCCTGCAGTCGCCCGGGTTCAGACTCGAGCTTTGCTGGTCCTTGGGTCGGCGCCATGGAGTCCGCCCAGTCTGCGCCTTGGGGGACGCGAGAGGCCAGTTGCCTGCAACTTCAAACAGGGGCAAAGCCTCCTGTGGCCCCGAATCTGTTCCAGGAGATCGCGGCGGTGCCTGATGCCAGGTGCACGCTCCCGAGAGGCGCCCCCTGGAGATAGCGCGGGCCGTCGCCCCAGCCTCCCTGAGCCACTGCTGCCAGACAGTAGTCCCACCTAGGCCTTTGTTACAGCCAGCTCCCCATCCTGAAAAAGCGCTCCTGTGTCCAGAAGAAAAGGAGTTAGGAGAGAGTGAGACTTCTACGTATACCAGGGGGTGCATGGACCTCGTAGCTTCTGTCTGTGAGCTCCAGGGTCTCTCCAGGCTTCTCTGCCCCAACAAGGATCTTCCCACAAGGCTTTGGCGGCCTGGTTTGGGGCACACTGGCCTTCCATGCATGCATTATCTCATCGACCCTGTTCTTCAAGGGCCCAGCTCTCTCTCCTTAGACTCGATGCAGGCAGTGTCCTCTGAGAGCTCAGACTTCCCTCTCTGCAGCCTGCATGTGCATTTTCCATCAAACAAGTGTTCTCTGGTCTTAGGCAAGTCACTCACCCTTCTAGCCTCAGATTGCTTGTCTGTCAGATCATAAAAACAGCTGCAAGGTTGTTGTGAGACAACAGGTAAGCTCATCCTCCATGGCCAGCGTGCCTGGCTCAGGTTGGGAGAGTGTGCTCATTTCACTGTGCCCACCCTGGGTCTGAATTACTCTTTGGAAAAGCTTTCTCTGATGCGTCCTTTCTCCAGTTCCTGTCTGGTGATCCCTCCCTCCCCTGAACTTCCAGCCACGCCCCCCCGAATGGTGCTGCCCTCACCGTCTCTGAACTTGGGCATGGGCATGGCTTTGGGCAGGGCCAACTGCTGTTCGGCTTCCACTCTCGTTCTGTAGATGGTGGAGGGAGTGCTGAGCCTTCTTCCTTCTTCCCAGGTATCCTGGAGATAACAGCGGTAGAGGTGGGCATCGTGGCCATCAAGGGGCTCTTCTCTGGACGGTACCTGGCCATGAACAAGAGGGGCCGGCTCTACGCTTCGGTGAGTCCCGTCTCTTGCATGGGTGGGCACTGATGGAGAGCCGTCTGGCATGAACATCACCTCAGGGGGCTGAGGGGAACAGCAGAAAGCCTTGCCCGGGGAGGGTAGGACCTGAGCCGGGAACAGAACCCCAGCCTGTGACTTTCTGCACAATGCTCTGTGGGTGCATCAATAAGATGCTGCACCAGCTTGGGTAACATGGAGCATGGCCCACGGGGAGGGCCACACTGGGATTAGCCACTCCCTGCTTTCCCCAGCACTCCAGGTTTAGACCATGCTCCCCCAAACGTGTTATCCCTATCACCATCCCCGAAGGAAGCTGAGAGTAGGAAAGAGACTGTCTCTCAAATGTCCACTGAAGTAAAGGGATCTGAGCCAATCTGGGCTCGAATCAAGGGCGTTCATGGGGCAATGGCTCTCGTGTTGGGCCAGACAGAGCCCTCCTGGGATTGAAAAGAACACTGGGTCCAGCCTAGCCCATTCTCCTCAAGCATAGGGAATGCAAGGCAAACGTGTCAGATCCTAGGAGGGAACTGAGAGGGAGGGAGCAGGACCATGGCCTATGCACACAGGGATCCTGACCCCAGGCTTGGAACCCAGTCTACCTACTGCCTGGGCCGCAAGGGAACCACAAAAGGTCCTGTGACTGTAGGCATTGGTGGTGACCCGTCCCCAAGGGTCAGGGGCTGGGAATACATGGAGTAGAACACATGTAGCTAGGAAATCTGCTACCTCCAACTAGCTATTACGTCAATTCGGCTGGTACTTCCGTAGGCAATGAGAGGTTTTCCATCCGCACGTAACCTGGACTATGCGGCTGGCAGGCTATCCCCCTGCAGTTACTTGTATTCAGTTGTGCTTGCAGGGAAGACTTCCTAACCTTTGAAATCAGCAAGCCCTCTTTTAAACCAGTTCTTGCACACACATTCTCAGCTGTTTTGCTATTGGAAGTGCAGAAGCTGGGGTGTAACCATTTGTGTGCTGTAGCCCAGGGGCCCCTTGGTAGGAGTCGTATCTAGGAGCGGGACCCTCATGGGCTCAGCCTCTTCTGCACATTCTTATAGAGAGTCTCCTTTCACAGTTCTGGTTTACACACTTACACCCTTGACCTAGGTTCTGGTCTGTTTTTCTGGAGGTGAACTTGGCCTTCTTGACTCCTTGATCCTGTGTCCCTGGTGTCGAGTGAGGGGGCTGACTGGGTGCTCTTAAAATAGACCACCCATGGTCACTTTTCTGAGAGTCTCATTGGCCTTCAATGATAGTGCGGGCTTCCCGACCAGAAAGAGGCCATATGTCCCCCACCAGGGAACTTCAGAGAGGAGTAGGGAGGGCAGGCCCAGGAGGAGATGCCAAAACCCTCTGCCATCTCTTGCCACGGGGGTTCAGGACCAGAACACTTCATGGCTTGGAGGATCCCAAGGCATCCAAGCCTGCTTATGTCTTCTGTCCCCGAAAGGTGACAGCCTACACCACCTGTACTCAGCTGCTCCATGACTGTCTCCTTTGGGGAGAAGGGAGATCTCAGGCCAGGGGTAGCTGGGCAGTGCAGGCTGATCTGTGGACCTGTCCAGAGCACACAACAGAGAAGGTCTCACTGCTCCACTGATATCGCGAGAGGTGAGGTAGGCTGCGTGCCCACCCCGTCACACTCCAGCCTGCTTATGGCGCTGTTCCTGCTGCCTGGCCCTGACCCCTGGGTTCCTGGGCTTGGCTGTCAGCATGGCTCTCCCTCCCATGTGCCAGCACATCCACCTCTGTGGGCCTGGGATCACTGCACTCTGGCAACTCCAGTTCCAGCCCTAACCTCCCTAAGTTAGAGATCACGCCTCCCCCAGAAAGTCCTGATGGCTAAGACCCATGCAGAGGGCAGCACACCCCAGCTGGATTCAGTAGCTCCACCACTCCCTCCTACTCCTTCATCATTGCCTCACCAACCATCACTGTAGCCTGAGACCAGCCCGAGGCATGGTAGGCCCCCCTCCCCTTGCCCGCATGCAGTCCATCCCGGGTCCTCAGTCTAAGCCTTCTGACTCTGTGTCTTCAATGGGTATATCCCATCTCCCCCTGCCTTTATGATGCAGATCCTCATCACCTCCCACAATGGATCATTGCAACAGCCGTGGGACCCGGCAGTGGGCCCGCAGCTGCTGCATCCTCCGCATCCTCCAGTCCATCTACCCACCCTTCCTTCTCTCCTTCCTTCATTCCTCGCTCCTTCTCTTCCATCTACCCTCTCCTTTCTTCCTCTTACCCTTCCATCCAGCTGCCTCCACTTCCTGCCTCCATTCACCGTCCGCTGGGCCACCCGTCCAGCATCTATTCTTCCATTCGTCTGGCAATGTCCTGGTCACTTACTGTTTGTCATACCCTGCCAGGTGCATGCTGAGAGGTCTTCCTTAAAGCAAATCTATGGTCCCTGAGAACTCCCCATCGCCCCTAGATTATCCCCTAGGTGCCTTGGCTCCGCCCACAGGGAGCTCTCTGGCACCTCCTGCTCCCGCATCCCCCATGATTCTGTACCTCGTGTCTCTCCCTGCCCTCCAGACCTTTCCTCCACCCTCCAAACAAGCTGTGTCCTTGACCTTTACCCACATTGTCACTGCCTGGAATGGGCCCTCCCCGAAGATGCCCACTAGAAAGTGCCCGTCCCTCCACCCACACTTCTGGCTCCCTCCAGACAACATCTCATAGCAAGGGACCTCTGAGTCTGCTTCCTTCTCAGCCTTCATGGGGTGCAGGTGGCTGTGGGGAAGGGGCATGTGGAACGCAGGTCTGGGTGGTCAGGATGGGGATTAGGAACTATCACCACACCAAACCCCAACTGCAGCTGCCCTGGGGTCTGTGACCCTGACCCCGCAGCTGCCACCTTCCACCCTGGTCATCCCAGCCACCCCTGGTGTCTCCACAAGGTGCAGGCATGTGCCCTGCAGCCCTCAACTCCAGATCACCCCCATGTACTCCTCCAATCTCAGAGCACCCCCCTCAGGAGGACCTGAGCCCCTTGCCTTTGGGGCTCACAGACCTGTGTCTTTCAACTGTCTCCCCAGTGTCTCTACAAAGACCGAGTCCACTCTTTGGGGTCCCCAGCCCCAGGAGGTTACATCTATTCCAGGATCGAGGGACCTGGGAGAAGCACCAGTCCTGTCCCCGAGTTCTTGCACTCCTGTGAGGAGGTTGGACAATAACATAGATCTCAGTGGGATCTGTGTTTCGTCTCTTCCTTCATCCACGTGTCCGGTCCCTGCTGAGGCCGATGTAGCCGGCAGATATTAAGACACCTGGGCCTGGGGCCAGTAGGTAGCATGGTGGTTGGGGTGTTAGACTCCCACATGGCCAACCATAGTTTGAGTCCTGGACCTGGCAGCTTGCTTTCTTACTTTCTTTCTCTCTCTCTCTGCCCTCCCCTGGTCAAATTAAAATAAAATAAAAATAAGGGACCAGCAGTTGGCGTAATGGCTATGTTGCTGGACTCCCATGTAGTTGCCCGTGGTTCAAGTCCTGGATGCGGTGGCTTAAACTCACGCCGGGCATGTGTGCGTGTGTGCCCAAGATCCCGAGAGGAGAATGAAGGAGAAGGGATTGCGGTGTGGCCATCCCCCCCGGGGGGGGGTGATTTCTCACTTTCTGTCTCTGTCTCTCTCTGTCTTTCTGGCGAGTGCACGCACTCTATAGCAAAAACCTCTTCAAAAATAAAATAAATAAATAAAATATGAATAAATAAATAAAGTTAAATAAAATAACTCTTTAGGGAAAAAAAAAAGACCCCTTGGCTGGCTGATCCTGGCCCTGTACTCCAGACAGTCCCACACAACCCTCTACTGAGACCCCCCCCACACACACAGTCATTGACCTCAGAGGTAGGGACTGGAAGCTGGGAGAGCCTGGAACAGAGAAACAGAGAGGGGCCCACTCTTCTGGAGGTCCTCAGCCACCTCTGCAGAGATGAGACTTATGAGCTGAATCCTGCAGGCCACGTTCACAGGCACCCATGGAGAAAGGGTGAGAGAGAGGCTAGGAAGACGGCACGACCTTGGCAAAGGTGTGGCGGGCAGGACACATGGGTGTCCTGCAGCCTCGGTGGAGGGCAGGGAGGTGTTGGGAAGAGCCGTGACCCTGGGTGTGATGCTGGCAGCCTCCCATAGCCACTGACGGCAGCGTCTCACCCCACAGGAGCACTACAACGCAGAGTGTGAGTTCGTGGAGAGGATTCATGAGCTGGGCTATAACACATATGCCTCCCGGCTGTACCGGACGGCGCCCAGCGGGCCAGGAGCCCGGCGCCAACCCGGCTCAGAGAGACTGTGGTACGTATCTGTGAATGGCAAGGGCCGGCCCCGCAGGGGCTTCAAGACGCGACGCACACAGAAGTCCTCCCTGTTCCTGCCCCGCGTGCTGGATCAGAAGGACCACGAGATGGTGAGGCTGCTCCAGGGTGGCCTACCCAGACCCCCCGGCAAGGGTGCCCAGCCACGGCGGCGGCGGCAGAGGAAGCAGAGCCGGGAAGGCCACCGGAGAGTAGAACCCTCGACTAAACCAGCCTCACAGCTGCGATCCACACTCACAACAGGTGTGGACTAGCCAGAGGCTGAGTGACTACCTTCAAAACTCAGAGCCACTCCCCAGGGCAGATTTCATAACGGGCCCTCCTCCCCACACCCCTGCTGCATCCCTTCCTTCTGAGTGGCTGCTGTACCAAGACCAGCAGAACATACCAGGGGCCAGTGGGAATCAAGGGAGGCTGGTCAGGGCTCTGGGGAGGTTTGCTTCAGCTGCAAGACTGTTGTGGGTACATGTTGGCAAGCAGTCCCTCCTGGCCTGACCATCAGCCTGCAGGGAAGATTCCCAGTGGACCGAGGAGCCTCCCAGGGGTAGGCTAGCCTACCGTGGGGTTTTGTGTAATCAAAACATTAAAGTATTTTATTCTACTTCGTTATGTAATAGATTCTAATACAAGCTGAGGAACCGCAGCTGTTACTGGAGCATTCTTTACTTTGACAATAGCCGAGTCTATGCTGGCTTTACCTGTATCAGCTGCTATTTTTAAGATGTGAGATTGTATTCTGAGAACTTGGGCTAAAGACGCATTTTAATCCCCTGGTTTTTGGAAGTTGCTGTTTCTTGAAACCAATAAATGGTTTGTGTGGATGGAAAGAATAGGCCGAGGGTAGGGTGTGTCTCTGTGTGTGTATGCAATGTTTGTGAATTCTCGTGCCTGCATGCATGCATATGTGTATGTGCATGTGCGCACCTACATGTGTATATTCCTATGACAGTGTGTGTGCTTGCAGGTATGTATGCGCTCCTGTCTGTGTGCATGTTTGTGAGTGTATGTTTGTGTGAGCCTGTTCATGTACCTGCATGCATGCCTGAGTGTGTGTCTGTGTGTGTGCTGCTGTGTTCCTGGGTGTGTCTAAACGTGCGTGTGCATGCAGAGAGAGAGAGGCGTGTATGTTGCTCTAGTTCTCCACAAAGCCCCTCCTCCTGGAGAGAGTGTTCCTCCAGGGACAGTGTGAGTGTCCTGTCACAGGGCCCTACAGTCCTTTCTTTCCTTGATCCTTGAAGCTTGCCTCAGGGCCTCCAGGCTTTGCATAGAGGGGACATGAGTGGCTGGGGAGCAGGGAGCTGAGCTCCATGCAGGGCGCCTCCCCACACGTGCTCCCCAGCGACGGCCCAGAGGAGGCCCAGTGAGAGCCCAATGGCAGGGGCAGCACGCTCACCTCACTGGTGCACCTTGCAAGATGGGCAGGGGCCCAGGTGAGGGGCATGCCCTAGGCCTGGGCCCAAGGAGGACCCTGACACTCTATTCCCTGCCCTGGCTGGGTCAGGGTGCAGTCCACAGTCAGACCAGACTAGCCAAACACATGAGGAAGCGGGCTCGGCACCAGCATGTGTGTGTGCGACGTGAGTGAGAATTTGGGCAGAGGGCTCCTGACTTCCAACCCCAGCCCCTTGGCAAATCGGAGTCCCAGGAATTGTTCCCTCTAGGAACCAACGTTCATGGCAACTCGTGGGAACATCAGCTCACGGTGACTTTCACTGCGGGCGCTCTCTGTCATTTTCCCAGGCTGTGACAGGGCAGATGTGACCATTGCTCTCATGTAGTAGCCGAGGACACTGAAGCGTGGGGGGAACTTGCCCGGGGCATGCCGTTACCCACCTCAGCACTCAATGCAGCACGATCAATGGATGGTCCCTGACAAAGGGCAGGCAGGCATTGGGAGGGCTCTTGGCGGGTAGAATCAATGTGAGGCCTGCCCATAGCCTAGTGGTAAAGGGAGCCAGAGCCCACATGACCAACTGCGCAGTTCAAGTCCTGGCCCTGGTGGCCTGGAAAATAGCCCGACAGAATGGAGAAACGAAATTACAACATGGCCACACCCCCTGGGGGGGGCTTTCTCCCTTTCTCTCTCACTCTCTCTGTCTCTCTTGACCCTCTGAAAATGAAAAAAAATTTTTTTTTACTTTTTCGGGGATTTTTTTTTGGCTGTTTTTAATTCACTATAGGGCATTTGTGCTCATTGGAGACAGAGGGAAGAGAGAGAGTGAGAGAAAATGAGAAAGCACTCCCCTCGCCCCAGGGTTGGGGAGATAGCCACACCTCAATTCCTTTTCCTCCATTCTTCTCTTGGGATTTCGGGCATGCACCCAGTTTTTCAAGGTACCAGGTCTGGGATTCGAACTGTGTAGTCATCCAAATGGGACTCAGCCACCCTAACCACCACACCACCCACTGGCCCTAAAAAAACACAAATCGCAGGGCCAGCGGGTGGCGTGGTGGTTCAGGTGCTGGATTCCCACAGAGCTGACTGCAGTTTGAGTCACAGACCCAGTGGTTTGAAAAATCACAAGTAAATAGATAAATTTTAAAAAGGGGGGGGGACAGATTTGACAAGCGCTACCTTTTCTTCGATGGACAGGCTGTGCTGGGATCAGCTCCTGACCCTCCTCTAGAGACCAGATAGCATCATTTTGGGTGTGGGTTATGAGGGAGTTAGGGATTGAATTGTGTCCCCTCCTCAAAAATTCATGCTGAAATCCAAACTCCCAGGACCTCCGAATAGGACCTTATTTGAGAACAGGACATTTGCAGATGTAATTAGTAAGATGAGGTCACATGGGAGTGGGGTGGGTCCCTAATCCACCACGACTGGTGTCCTGAGAAAAAGAGAAAATTTGGGGGGTCGGCAGGTGGCATGGTGGTGGAAGCGCTGGACTCCCACATGACCGATGGTGGTTTGGGTCCCGGACCTGATGGCTTGCTTTCTCCCTTTCCCTTTCTCTCTCTCTCTGGTCAAATTAAAATAATAATAATAATAAATAAAATCAGATTAATTTAATCATCCTTGTTATTTATTTATGTTATTTATTTGACCAGAGAGAGAAAGGGAAAGGGAGAAAGCAAGCTGCCAGGTCCAGAACCAGAATTGGAACTGCGGTTGGCCATATGGGAATCCAGCACACTTAACCACCATACTGCCTGCCAGCCCCAGATAAATAATTCTTTAAAAAAGAAAAGAAAAGAAAGGAGGAAATGTGGGTGTAGACATAATGCGCGCAGGGTGGACACCATGTATATGTGATGGAGGAGAGCGGGGTGATGCCACTGTGAGCCAAGGGATGCCAAGTGGCCAGCAAAGCCCGACAATGGGGAGAGGCTTGAACAGACTGTTGCCTGGAGTCCACAGAGGCCTCAGCCCAGCAGACACCTTGGCCTGGGACTTCCGGCCTCCAGAACTGCCGGCAATACATTGCTATTGGTTAAGCTGCCTGGTCTGTGCTACTTTGTTATGGCAGCCCAGGCCAATGAACAAAGAGGGCGTGGGGCCCATCTGCTAGGTCCCCAAAAGGAGAGCGACTGCTTCTGTCGAATGGGGGGAAGGGAGAGGAGGCAGCTGCTGGCTGAAAGTGTGGGCTCCCCAGGAGGTTTCAGAGGGCGCCAACCACGTGGGGTGTCATGGTGGGCACAGGAGGGGACTGGAGAAGGTAGGATCTCCCTGTAAAGGAAAAGTTAAACACAGATTTACCTGGGCCAGCCAATGGTGTGGTGGTTAAGGCAGCTGGATCCCACATGGCCAACAACACGGTTCAAGTCCCAGACTCAACAGCTTGAGAACACACTGGGCAGTCTGCGTGCATGCCCAAAACATACCACCCAGAGACAAACCTGGATTCAGACCTTCCAGTTGCATGGTCTTAGCCACTTCACTCACCCGATCATAAGCAAACCTGCAGTACCCAGCAGATTGGGTGCCTGCCCAAAATCCCGAGGGGAGGGGGAGTTGGAGGAGAAAGGATTGTGGTGTGGCCAGCCCTATGGAGGGTGCTTTCTCACGTCTCTACGCCCATTGACAAAACAAACAAAACATACCATGATTTACCTTATGATCCAACAATTCTTCTGGGTTTTTGAAAGCAGAGTCAGAGAAAAAGAAGAGGAAAGAAAGAGACAGACACCCACTCAGGGGGGTGCAATCCACACCCCGCCTCAGTCAGCCAGGGGTACGGGTTCATGCGTGTACCTAGTGTGAGCAGGGAGGCTTTGGGACTTGAACCCTGGTCCTTCCCATTGGCCCAGCATTGTGGAACATTGTGGCACCGCGGCTGGGTGTGGACGTTGGTTCTCTGGAGTCAGAGTTTCAATTTGGGAAGATGGAAAAGTACTGAAAATAGTTGGCGGTGCTGTTGCACACATTGGGAGTGTCCTTAATGACACTAAATTGTACGCTTAGAATGGTTAAACTCCCTGCCATGCCTGGGTTGCAGGAGTGCGATTCTCCATCCCAGAGCCTCCCTACCAAAAGTGGCTAGTCCAGATCATCACAGATGCTCCAGAAACGCAGCTGAATAAACTGGAGAGGAAAGAGAAGGAAAAGGCTGGGAGAGGCAACCCGGCTTCTGGCCTGCTAACCGCCCTGCCAAGTCTGTGTCACTTCCCACCACCCACCTCCAGGGAGAGGTGGGCTTTGCCTGACTGAGGCCTAAAAAACAAAGATCTGCTGCTCTGCTCCTGAAGCCCAGCCTTGGGCTGGCTGCTTGTCCTTCTCCGCCTTGGGTGAGGTCAGGCTGCCTTCCATGGGGAAGGCAGATGGGTACCGAGTGACTAAGCTTCAGCTGCTCAGAGCAGGCCTTCGAACCCCTCGGTGGGTTCAGAGGCCTCCCATCTCCCTGGGCATTGAAGGACTTGGAAAGGTGAACAAGCAAGAGTATAATTAGCGCCCACCCCTCGGAGGGTGACCTTGGCTTGCCGCATTCCAGGGCCATGCCAGGTATAGCCCCCCACATTGACCTCCATCCCCTCTCTGGCTGCAAAAGCTGGAATGCCAGGGGCAGCTCACACGTGTGCCTGACCACGGGGCTGGGCTGTGTGTCTACACCGAGGAACGGGGCTTCTGGGTGGGAGAGGAATCAGCGCAGGGGCAGGATTTGGCCCTGCCTGTTTCAAAGCTGCCTTAGCCATGTCAATCAGCTGGATTTGAACCTGCCCGTTTCAAAGCTGCCTTAGCCATGTCAATCAGCTGACCCTGAGAGTCCTTGCAGTTACGTGGCCAGGACCGGCCTGGGTCTCTCCCTAACCTCGGTTTCTCCATCTGTCAAATGGGGCACAGCGGTCATCAGCATCCAGCGAGGTGGAACAGATGGTGAGGAA